ACACACACACACACACACACACACACACATAAACACACGCAAACACACACGCAAGCACCAAACACGTGCACACACTTACAACAAAGCTCACATAATAAAATGTATGGGGAATGATTCATAATAAACTGCTTATCAATTCAAATTCTATGCTACACAATTGTCGCTTCGAGACTAGAAAATAATGAACTACAGAATAAAAAGTGTAGGCCTTAATAAAGAATTTTGCAGAATCAGGGTACTCTGAGCCTTTTAAATTCAAACTACAATTTTAATGTGTTTTCATAAACATGAATTGTTGGGGTTTTGAAAGCCGAGTTATAATCTTACATTTTAAACTACACCCTAACATTATAATTCGGCTTTTAAATTGCAAAGTGGTGCATCTTTTAAAATGATAGTAGGCTATACACAACATATTTATAAGTTTTGACTTGAAAGGGTTTGTATCTTTTCTAGAATCTATGTCTCTTTCAAATCATAATTTTAAAAAGTATATTATACTATTTATACGCGCTATCAAAGCAACCATTTCAACATGCAATGTAATTATACTACTATGATGAATATGAAACATGAACACGTTGGGATAAAATTAAATAAGTAACACTCACAAATGCGATACGATCTCCGAATTCGTCACATCTTTGGTAATAAAATTCGTGGAAGGGTGCATCGGCTGAAACCACAAGATCTGGAAGAGGGGATCTGACAATGTTTTCCGAGATCAGAGGGTTGGAAGAGAAATTTCGCCTCGCGCTCACCACACTCACAGTCAAGTGGCTACTGAGCGGTGGAAATTGGAACCTCACCACATTCTTCTGAATGAAAACCGCGAGGGGTCGAGTGGAGAAACGGGCTGCTTCCAAACACGAAAATGAAGATGACCGTACAAGTAATGTTCTCGAGAAACACCGACGCAACATAGCGATTTTTTTGTACGGACTGTTCATCTAACAAGCGAGCCAAAACTGACGAACGACTGAAAACGACCGAAGCACGACTGCTATTTTTGTTGGGTCTGCTGACTATTATTCGCGTCCAGTCACTGTTAACTCCGGGCGTGTTGTGACCTAGATCTTGATGCTGCGGCGGTATTTTGTGTAGGTCGGAGTGCCTCGCTAAATAGGTCAAAGTCGAAGACGTTTTTGTAAATAATTGCGAACATTCGCTGCTGTCCCGAGTTATCAATATATTATCACAAAGTACGTGGGGGAAATGTCAGCTTGGACTGAGCTATAGCCTAGAAATCACACATAGATTTTCAGGACGTATAATGTGACACACACACACACACACACACACACACACACACACACACACACACACACA